GGCCATTATAAGGTCCTCTGATAACAGGCTTATCAGATTGGGGTGCTGGGATCTTAACTACAGAGATCGATCTACCAATCTATGGATACTGTCTATCTATCTATCTATCTATCTATCTATCTATCTATCTATCTATCTATCTATCTATCTATCTATCTATCTATCCCAATGTCCCAATGGGTAAACTGACATACTGGAATCCCCCCTAAGCTGTCTGCTTTGGGTGGACTTGCACCTTTAAAGCAGATAGATTTAAATGTGACCTCATTGTATTTCAAGAAGTTGACATGAACTCTTTGGCATTAAATAATTTTGCATTAAGATTAAAGTCCTACCTCTAATCATTCACTGATATTTCTATATATACAGTGATAAAGCACTGCATTCCAGACTGCCGCAGAATCATCTCTGAGTCTTTGAAGTTTTACCTAGTGATTGTGTTTAAACAGGAGTCATTAGACTGAGGGAGATAATTGTGGCCATTTGGAAAGTATAGTGGAAGCTTACAGTCATGGTTTAATGTAATATAGATAATTGTATGCATCCTTATATTAAAGGAGGGGGCAGAATCCTGGAGGAGGGGGGTCTGTTCAGCTATTATGCAATATTAATCCAGATGCAGTCTGTTTCACTTATTTAAAGTATGTAAAGGCAAAACTTTTTTTTTAACATTTCGGATCTAGTGGTTAAAGTCCAACTCCGGGCAGGAGTACCTTCACAGGCAGGTTTCAAGCAGGCAAATAGTCTCCTTACATGGGAGGACCTTGCTCCCATGCAGGCAAACTTCTAAGTCCTGCAATTTAGTTTATATGGTGGAAGAAGTCCAGCTCCCGCTGTACTTCCTGGCTGCTCCGATTCTAAGCACTGCTGATGCAGGCCCCACTCTCCTCCAGGCCATTCCCAGTCCCAAGTTCTGTATGTGAATGGCCAGGAGAGGGTGGTGGAGATTCGATCATAGTGCTGGGGTCTATGAGACCTGCAGCACTTACAGCTCGACCAGCCAATAAGTACAGTGGGTGTTGGACATCCTCCATATAAGCTAAATGATTTGCAGGACATAGAAGTATGCTTGCATGGTCCTCCCAAAGAAAGAGAAGGTTGCCCTGCTTGAAACCTGTGAAGGTAATCCTTCCGGGAGTTGGGCTTTAAGGATTTAACTATCTTTTTTTTTTTGGTGTCTGGGTCCCATTAGTTAGATCTATGCCTTTGTTTGTCCTGGTAACCAATGTCATCAAGGCAGAAAGTGAGAGAAAATCCAAACATTTAGACTTGTCACCAAAGCAAAAGGTGATGATCTCGGGACAAATGTTAAAGATGGGAGTTCCCTTCAGTTTGGGGAGATTTCTTATTATTTTCTTCCTTCCTCTGTCTTCAGGCAGAAAGTGAAGGAAATATTCCAAGTGGAACAGAGTCAGCAACAAATAACCTGATAGGGGTTTTAAACCTTCCTTACTCTATCCAAAACAAAGAAGGCTTTGGCTTTACATATACTTAAGTATAAAGCCTTACAAGCTAAGGCTTTCCATAGACTTTAGAGGGTTGTGCTGGTGCAGTCCGATCACCCTCAGGGTGACAGTCTTTTGAGGGTTGAGGAACGCTCACTAAACTTGCATGCTCAGATCTGCCAAGCTAACAAGCTTATTTCAATAGTGATAGAAGGAGGGGATAAGTGGGAGGCAAGGTAGAGAACCCTCCAGACTATGGAAGGCAGTAACGATGGGGACAGGTCTTCTAATCTACCCAACAACTCTTCATCCTCATGGTGGCTCATGGCACCCACAGCCATGAGAGTAGGCAGATTGGGTCACTGTCATCTATGAGTAAATACGGACTGTGTGTCCCATGGGTGGGTGCTCCAATCAGGACAACCCTTGTCCTCCACCCACAACAACGCATTCTCTAGCCAGATTTGGAGTGCTCGGTAGTTTTACCACAGGGAACCCCCTCTTTCCTGTTTTTCTCCTTTACTGCAACTATACTTACCCTAGTTGTTCTTATCTATGTTGTTTAGGTTGCCTCATATCCTGCTTTTACCTACCTGAGGACAGGATGGGCAGTACGGCCAAGTTTAGTTCCGGCTGGACCTAGACCGCTGGCCGGACGGTTCGATATGCATACATGATCTCTCAATTGCAATATGTAATTTACATGAGATTCTTCATATGTTACATTGAGATCGTACTCACCAAGATATCCAAAAACGAGGTCCTCACTGTAGCGTGTGATGGCCTATCCCAGCGGCCCGATGTTAATATTAACATTAATGTGACACCTCACTGTAAGTGGTAAAGAGTTATGCTATATGTGATATGTATGATCACAATGTATGCTTTTTGTCTTTTATCTGTTCGCTATGCACAAAAAAACAATACAAATTTAAATGGAAAAAAATAAAAAATCTATGAGTAAATACATAACTTTAGACCAAACAACATGATGTGATCGTTGTCTGAGAAGATCAGCCATCAGATTGAGGTACATTATATGTGTAGAAGGGAAATCAAATTTTTTACAGTTGTCAGTGGGGAAAGCTCCCAATAGGGCCATTTAGTTTCCAGTGACAGCTTTCAAAGTTGGGATTTCCTCTCACTTTGAAAAGATTTGTTGTCAATTCCTGTTGTGTCTCCCATACAGACAGTGAGAGGAAATCTCACCCAACTGAGGTATGAACCTATCCCTACTCTATCCAAATGAGAAAATACGCATTGACTGGAGTTTGACTGTTAGATTAGAACAATCTACTGTTTTATAAAAACCATGATCTTAAACAATTGAAGGCTTGACTCCCCCCCCAAAAAAAATAAAAATAAACCCAAAAGCCCTGAATATTGTATTATATATGCTGTTGATGTGTTTTACCAAAAAGACAGGCATCCAAAATCCAACTGCACCAACAATATTAGATAACTATACAACCTGTGTTATATTCATATCAAGCTAGTAACACAGTGTCCTTACGTTCACTAAACCGAAGGGGACCTGTCTGGTTTGTTCTTAAGAGATGGAGAATCTGAAGAGTCAGTCATGGGAGTATTAATCACTGAGAATTTTTTAAGTGCTCAGCCAGAATATAAAATGGACCAGGGTTCTTCAAGAAATGCAAAGCGAAGAATACCGATAAGATAATCTCAGAGTCCGACCAAAAGGCTATTAAATTAATCTTTGTTCCATCGTGTCATGCTTGGCAGTATCCTTGAAGATTGGGTTAGGTAATCACTGCGTCACTTAATACGATGAGACTTTTTGAGTTGAAAACTGGTGAGTTGGTAAAGTGAGTTTTGGAATGTTGCTTATCTTTTCGTAGGTTCAATAAGTGCTGCCACATGCTCAGATCATAGCCGCGAAGCAGCAACATTCAATATTTAGAACTAGGATTCTCCTGATAGCTAAGGTTGGCCACGTGCAATAAAAGTTTAGTTGGAAAATTTCCCACAATGTCCCATCAGGTTCAGGTTGTGCAAGTTTAAGGTGGCAAGCACATGTCATTTTATGAAGTGTCGCATCTGATTCCAGCACTGCTTTTAATGATTGCCGTTGTAAAGGGTAACGGAAAATTGGAATTAAAGTGTAAGCTTGACCAGGTAAAAAATGAAAGAACATGTAAACCCAATCACTAAAATCTCGTATAAGCTTTAACATTTTAATGTAAGTTCAAAAGTCTTTCACCTGGTGATTCTGTCATGGAAGTCATTGTTTGGGCATTGCCTGTTATAGGGTGACAATAGTGTCATTGTCTACCATTAAAGCTTCTTCACCTTGCCACAAGGGCTTCTGATTCAGACTACAAGTGACAATTCAACCCTCATTAAAGTGACATTAAGCTCAGGTGTTAAATCTTAAAAATGCATTCAAGTATCCTTTTAACAAAAATGTATCTTATTTGTGTATCACTCGGCTGTAGATCCTCAAATCATCTCTGAATTGGTGCTGACACTGTCCTTCCTTCTGGAGGGTGGCAACTTTTGTTCCCCATGGTACCTGTGTGTGATTTGTAAAGTAGTCACCGCTCCAAGATCACTCCCGTGTTGAACTACAATCTCACATTTAGTTTACTAATTTGTATTGAGATTGTAGTCCATCACGGGAGTGAGCTTGGGGCGTTGACTACTTTACAGCACATATAGGAACCATGGGGAACAAAAGTAGCCACCCTCCAGAAGGAAGGACAGTGTCCGTACAAATTCAGAGATGATTTGAGGAGCTACAGCCGAGTGATACACAAATAAGATAAAGTTTTGTTAATAGTTAAAGTATTTGAATCTATTTTTAAGATTTGAATCCTGAGTTTATTGTCACTTTAAGCAGTCATGGTCCACTGTTGTCACCACCAGGATCCCTGCCATGAGAAATGCCATGCAGCCATTGCTGGGGTGCATGTAGACAGGAAGTGGCCGCAGGAGGTTACCAGCATCGGCACGCAATAATGATTAAAAGGTGGAACATGTATTTTTTTATTTTTAAAAATGGTCATTGGTTATGATACACAAAACTTTAGTAAACCAATGTCATTCATATATATATTTGTTGGGGGTTTTAAGCTGTTTTGTAGCCATAAATTCATATTTTATCATGTGTGTGCAAATATTAAGAAATTGCTCGGACAGCAAGTTGTTAAGGTTTACATCTACTGGTATACTTTCAAAGCCTACCTATCCGAAACTCCTAATATGTCACGAATCATTTAAAACGAGCACAGATTTTTTTTTTCTATAGTTTGACAGTATGAGCTGCGTTCCCCCGGCTGATGAACAAAGCATATGTTATTGTACTGCAGACAGCCATAAACCAGGTTATGTATATAGCCATAAAAGTTAATTTTACACATATAATGTTGTTCTATAGTTGATAAATGAACCTGTAAAATGGCTGCAGGAAGTTCATCAACAGGCTTCTATCTATCTGTTTATTACAGGAGATTGTAAACTTACGTAGAACATATATAGGGGGCTTAGGAGGCTTACTGAGGATCAAAGTTTAACAGATTGGTATTTTCTTTGTAGATATGGGGGACACAGAACTGGGCCAGATATCCTTCAAAGACTTTGAAGAGGAGAACCCCAAGAAGCAGCCAAAGCTTCACTGGTACGAGGTGTACATGCAACCATGCATAGCGGAGTTCATAGGCACCATGCTCTTTGTTTTCATTGGCTGCATGTCTGTCATTTGGAACGCATTCTCCACTGGAAGCCTGCAACCAGCTATAGCCCATGGACTGGCCCTGGGGCTGACTATTGCCATATTGGGGGGAATCAGGTACATTTCTTTCTTCCTATAAACACTTTCTTTCCAAGATTATAACAAAAAGTCTAATTACTCAATGGTATAAATCTGAATACCCTATTCCCTGCCAGATGTCAGAACCAAGTCACTTTTCTACACTGTAGTTTAGGAATGCAGATTGAATACTAACCTGCCCCCTGCCTGATGATTGGATGAAGCCTTACCACACTGATGAGGTCATCATGCTAATATACCCTCCTGTCAGTCAGGCTGACAGTGTTAGATTGAGAGCATTGTGCAAAATAGCCTTTATTGGCTCACACTGTTGTCATCCCTCTCCTCGTCTGAGTAGTGATATAGACACTTAGGGGTGTGTAAATACGTCCGATATATGTAGTATCTACACTATTTTTTTTCCAGATATTTATGGAATAGGATAAACTCCTGTCAGGTCATTTTTGGCATCTGTGTCCCATCAGGGAGATTTTCCTGCAATTTCTGGCCTGTAGACCTGTAGACACAGCAGGATGTGAGAGGAAATTTCTCCAAAGTAAGGGAAATTTAAAAAAAACACCCAACAATACTTACCAAATCCAGTGAGTTTATTTATTTTTTTGACCGATATAACAATTTTAAGATAATTTGGGATATATTTAGCAGTATAACTGACAGCAGTAAGGGTGCAGACCCTACAAAGAGGGGTCACAATGCTCTTTGTGGCTATGGTAAGATATAGCCATCTGGTTTTTTCTGCAGGCTCTTGACTGGTGGAATGTACAGGTTCTTTATATTACATGTTGCCTCTATAGTAGCGGTAATGCTGAACTGATGTAAATGGTGATAAATGGAAAGATAGTCTGTATGTAAAAGGATCCTTATTCAGATGTGACTTGGGTAGAGTGATCCGTCTGTCTATCTGTTGATGTGAGCTCCTGAGAGAAGCTGCAAGGCTGATAACCCTGTACAATGGTCACAAGATTAGAACAAAAAATGCTTCTATTACTGAAAGCTTATCATTTTTCCATGCAATTTGGCAAGGTGTATTGAAGGCAGAACGCTGCCAAAACAATTTAGCAAATGAAGGTAACCTTTAAGATGTGGAAGTGCTTTTATTTGAATAAATAGGATAATCAGTTTCATCGGAAATGTTCCAAGTGCCCTATTCCTTAGCAGAAGAAGGCTTATTCGCTGCCTTATGTGGTCCTATCAGAATGTAACTTTTGTTGATTCAGCTTAGAAAAGTCAAAATTGGTTTCTAAGAGAGTATAAACTTTGCCCTTCACCATTCACTTTGTGGTGGTTTAGTTAAGCCCTTCTGTCTCAATAGAGCTATATACCCCCCAAGCATTCTCCAAGCATCAATGGGCTAACATTCTTAGACCCCAAATGTTGACATAATGCTGCTACTGTGCACCAGAGTGAGTCATTTATCCAAGATTCCAATAAATCTATGTGATAAAGTAAGTTTCCATAATTATATTCGGTTAAAATGTAAAGGGTCAGTCCAACAATATGGTTTGTTTCTCTTAGGAAGAGGAAAAGCTTGGAGCATACCACCCAAATCTTTGAAATGGGAAAAAGACCTGTTAGAGACCTGTTAGTGCAAAGTATATATGCAGAGGACACCCTGCCATGCTCCTAGTTATGAGGGCCATAAAGGATTCAGATGAGGCTTGGGTAAAACCCCAAGCCTCAAAAGCCTCAAGTGCTTTATTTTCACCATGACTTCTCCTTTATACTTGTTGATCAAACTTACCAATTAGGTTGGATAAAATGTAGTTAAATAGTAAATCTTTTTTAAATAGAAAGTTACACTTCAGACCAAGAAGAGGGACAAGTGAGGAGAGAAAAGTGACCGGGAGATTTGACTCACATATAGGGACATTCTCATCAGTTGGGAGCTATGTTGGTGGGCTGTATTGGCGCCTGGCTTCTTATATGCCTTAGGAGATCTCCTTCTATAAATCCCGACTCTGTCTCGGCCCAGCTGGAATGAATTAACCTACCTTGTTGTTGAAGACAACCCACACAGGGATAACATACCAACTCCACGTAGGGCCTATGGTAGGAAGTGAACCCAAGGATGTATGGAAAGAGCACTATCTATTCTCCTACATTGGCAGTGGAACTCTTGACTGTATATCACAGCTCATTCATGATAATTCATAACGCTCCAAGGAATTAATAAAATGAAAATGGCCATAGAGAAAAATTGGCCGTGCAGCAATGGCTTCTGTTATACACAGCAGTGCCAGCACAAATGATGATATGGGGGCAGTAACAGCTAATCACATTTCCACCAGTCACTTTAAAACTGGAAAAGGTAAATGCTGACTAGCTACATTGCTGCACTTTGCACCTTACCCCTTTAAGTGTCTTTTAGTGCCATATTCCTGCAGAATTGCTTTGATATCGTGCTTATATGGCACCTATCTGTGCAAGCTCTTCATGTTAATTGCGTCCTCCATGCTTGGGATGTGTCCATGCTGTAACCATTAACTGGCATACATTTGCTGTAACTATTAACTGGCATTTAAGGACAGAAAAACAAATAGTTATGCCGGTGAGCCATGCCTTAGATAAGAAGTGAAAATATTGCTTTTCCACTGTCAAAACCTGCTATCTAGTCATTTACTCAATGTATACAAACACATACACCTGACTAAGCTTGACAGAGTATCGGAGGCTAGAAGGATTACAGGGTGTGTCTCTAGCAAATGTCATGGCAAAAGGCAAGGCAATTCACCCTTAGGTGTGGATTAGGTTAAGATGCAAAGGGATGGATTCACTGCATGCCTACTCTATCCACATAATCCGAAATGTAGGCTGACCTTTGGGTTTAGTCATCCCATGGGATGGGCCACCAAGTGGTCAGACAACAAGGACCTGAACCTGGGATGACAATTTTGTAGTGAAGGTCTTAGATAATGTTTTTAAAGTAAGTCCGTACTGGCATTGATGACCTAAAAATAAGAGTTCATCAGTCATTACCTACACATGTCTTCTAGGGTGCCTCAGGGTCCCTCATACCCGAGGCATTCTGTCTGAAATTGGTTACTCCCAGCTACAGCTTCAAAACACCGCCCTGCACCATCCACAACCCTCCAATCAGAGCTTATAATTATATTTTTATAATGAGTGGCTCATGCTTGGGGGCTCCATGGGGCTCAGGAAGAGTATGAAAGTAGGACCTCTGTCCACCTACAAACTGTGTATAAAATGACACTTGCCAATAGTCTGCATGTGTCAGAGAGTAAATACAATGAACCAATGCATTGTATTTATTATTCCATTTCATGTGTAAATCAAACATCAAATAGTAAATACATTTACACCATCTAAAAGGAACCCTAGTTTCATTTTAGTTTAAGGGCTTGTTTCCACCAGCCGTGCGTCTACCGCAATGTCCCGTGCCCGGAACGCAAGGGATCGCATACATAAAGTCTCCTTGCGTTCTGGGGCGGCATACACTATTTTTTCCAAATCGCAACACACTCAAACGCAGGGCTTTTTATTACCACGCATTCCTGTGCAGCCAATCGCACTCCGGGCGGGGGGCCTGTCTGCAGTACCATTGACTTGAATGGCACTGCCACGCCCCCTGCCGACCCCAGAATGCCAGGAGACTTTATGTATGCGATCCCTTGCATTCCGGGCATGGGACATTGTGGTAGATGCACGGGCTGGTGGAAAAAAGCCTTAAAAGTACATTTTTTAAGTTAAGTTTTATTGAAAAGTAATTTTTTTAAGTTACATTTAATTGAAAAGTAATTTTTTTAAGTTTCATTTAAAAGTAATTTTTTACGTTTAATTTAAAGTTTAAAAAATAAATAAATGTATTTATATGTAACCTTTTCTCAACCTTTAGTTAACACTAATCAGCCCCAATCAAATCTTTCATCTCCTTAGCTATTATTTTTCTGCTTTTTTACGGTATTTCTATTTCTTTTACTATGATTTTTTCCCCTGTTTTTATTCGTCTTGTTTGTTACTTTCCTCGCTGTCATATATCACGAAAATATGCAAATCTGAAATACAGCTTTTTTCTTCATTTGCGAATAACTTTGCCAAGCTTTGTACCATAAACATCATCTGAGTGTCATTTTAAACAGAAAAGAAATCTAGAAATAAATGTATATTTTTCATTTAGTGTACACATTTATTTATTAATTTTTTTAAACTAACACTGGTCAATTAAAAAGTAAAAAAAACAAAAAAAAACCTAACACTTGTGTATTAAAAACCAAGTTTTTGTGTATAGATTCCAATAAAATAATTTTTGCTAAATAACACAGTATTGCCACAAAAAAAGTCTAATCCCCCCCCAAAAAAACAAACCAATATATGTATTACTTTGTCATTGGCATATAACCGGGCCCATAGTGGAAATGTAAAAATTGCTCTAGTCCATAAGGGTTGTACTGGTACTGGTACTTCTGGTACTGGTAAGGGCTGAAGTGGTTAATTGAACCAGGAAAACTTAGAATCACATTTATCTCCTAAAATGGGAGACGAGATTCTTCTGTACAAGCAGCCTCTTGTCTTCCAGCAAGTGAATGAAGTATCCGCTCCTTCACAACATCATTACCTAAACATTTGATGTCCAAGTCTCTTGGTGGACCCTCCTAATTGGTGGGTTTGAGGCAAATTACCCCTTGGCCCCTAGTTAAAATAATTTGAGTGCGATTTATGGATGGAAGACCGGCCGTTGGTTTATTCTATTGAATAATTTATTGCCCATTATTTTAAATCTGAACTCCAACCAAAATGTTTTTCTTTTTAGTTTAGGATAGCGTGAGGAAGGGTGAGAACCTCTGTCAGGGTTTATATGCGGTTTGTGCCCCATTTTCAGGGATTGTTCTGTTACATTGTATATTGTGTTTAATGGGCTATTCATTTTTATCTTGTTTTTTTGGCTGGACTTTAACCCTTCGCCTTTCTATCCAATACTAACATTAAAAATCTTTGGCTGGCGTTGGGCTTTGAGAATGATTTTTATTTGACACCACAAGGTGTATGGAACCCAAATATCTCCAAACATGGAGGTAGCCCAGTAAAAATGGTCTATCGATCTTATCTATAATAGATTTATGAGACCGTATTCATCTATTCTTTATTGTTTTAGTGGCGGACACTTCAATCCAGCGGTATCTCTGGGAGCCTGGCTGATTGGAGGACTCAACATTGCCCTGGTAGTGCCATACTGGTGCAGCCAGCTGTGTGGTGGAATGGTTGGAGCAGCACTGGCCAAGGTAAGGGGCCATTCCAAAACTTCAAGAACACCGGACTTTCTGTGAAGTCAATATTATTATGAGAATAAGAAGAGTCAGAAGAGACCAGTTTCAGGGATATCATGGCCCATCCCTTGTCCAATTAGTGAATGCCTTGTATTAATTGATAAAGGAGTGGCTGCTGTGCCAAGTGAGCGACCCTCTGAGTTTTCAGAGCAGAGGGGAAGCCGCTCAGCACATACAGGATCTCCGGGCTACTAAAGAGCTTTACAGGATCTCCATGCACCAACCAGGAATGGCAAATCCATACTTACATCGGGCCAAGCTGGACAACTCCAGGTTAGCCCAATGGGCCGACCAGGTATGACATATGCATACTTATATCGGGCCAAGCTGGACCACTCCAGGTTAGCCCAAGGGCCAACCACGTATGGCATATGCATACTTACATCGGGCCGAGTTGGATCACTCCAAGTTAGCCCAATGGGCCAACCAGGTATGACATATACATATTTACACTGGGCCAACCTGGACCACTCCAGGTTAGCCCCAGGGACAACCAGGTATGGCATATGCATACTTGTATCCGGCCAAGCTGGATCACTCCAAATTAGCCCAATGGGCCGAAAAGGTATGGCATATACATACTTAGATCGGACCAAGCTGGACCACTCCAGGTTAGCCCAGTGGGCCGACCAGGTATGACATATATATACTTAGATCGGACCAAGCTGGACCACTCTAGGTTAGCCCAATGGGCCAACCAGGTATGACATATGCATACCTAGATCGGACCAAGTTTGGCCAGTCCAGGTTAGCCAAATGGGCCGACTAGGTTTGACATATTTAGATCAGGTCAAGCTGGACCAATGTAAGTATGCAAAATAATGCATACCTGGACTTCACCTTTAAGTGGAGTTGTGTTTTATGTCCCAGTAATCTCATCCAGCCTAACACACAGAAATGGGCTGCTGTGTCGGCTGTTTAATATCCATAGTTGTGAATGTAGTCACTATTTCTTGTACTTCCATAAACTGTAAGATACTCACCAATCTTCATCATTTTCAGGCCCTGACTGTAGAAAATGTTTATGATATAAGTGCTGGAGCAGCTTTCAACGTGGTGACCAAAGATTCCGAGGTCGCCCGAGCCATTGGAGCTGAAATAGTCATGACGTTCTTCTTGGTCTTGGCTGTCTGCATGGGGGCTATTAATAAGAAGACCGCTACTCCCCTGGCTCCCTTCTGTATTGGCTTCACTGTGGCAACGGACATCTTGGCAGGGTAAGAGAAACATAAGTTCATTTAGAAACTATGGCTGGGGGAGGATTGGGGTCTGTAAGTGTTACTTCAGCAGAAAACAGTTTTTCTGCACTGTCGGGCTATGCTGTGTGGCTGGGCTGTGCACATTTCAGGACTGGATGGACAAATACAAATGCTTTGGCAGGCAAAACAGCTCCCATATATGTATTTAACTATTTGACTGGAGTTCAGCTTTAAGTCATAAAGGGGTATTTAGCCATTACCCTTTGATATGTTCATAAGTACTTAAAGCTTTAAAGCAGAACATGGCCCTAACTCTAATCCCTACCCATCAATCTCAATTTATCTCCTAATCTCTAATCCTCATCCTAACCCCTACCCATAACCTCAACAAAACTGAAATGTCAATCCAATCCTAAACCTTAACCTGTAAACCAGCGGCGGGCAAACTCCGGCCCTCCACCTCATGCAAATCTTTGGTACATGCTATGTGGCCCTTTAAACGTCCAAGTGGTCTGCAAAGGAGCTGTAATGATGGTGCTCCCTATCAGTCTCATATAACAGGTCCCCAGTTTCTGATTGTCTTCTGCGGCAGGTTTACAGCCTCCAACATCACTGGTAGCATGTCTGTAGTCTTTCACCACCTTGTCTAGCATGTCTTCAGTTTTTGAATAATATATGCCCTTTGGCACTTTCAGGGGCGGCCGTTGAGCCCCCCATACCTCACAAGTTATCAACCACTGCTTTACACTCTCTTGTTGCACATTTACAGAGGAAGCATCTCTGGAGCATGCATGAACCCTGCCAGAGCCTTCGGTCCCGCCGTAGCTGCAAATTACTGGGCCTATCACTGGATCTACTGGGTGGGACCTATGATTGGAGGTCTGTTAGTTGGCGGTATTATAAGGTAAGAATACAGTTTTATTCTTTGCATGTTTATATTAACATATCTACAGGACTGCAAGATTTAAAGGGTCTGTCCACCCGAAAGTGATATCTAAGATGTTGATAGAATTTGGAGGATTGAGGGCCCATTCAAACCATTGCCTTTGTGCTATGGTTTGAATGGGCCCTCATGCCTTGCTATGGTACTGCACTCTAGGTGAGCTGGTGCATTGCATTGCCACTCACTTTGGATGGCACCTCAACACACCTCCCATCTACCTTGGATTGTGTCTCCTCCTGCTAACACTGAGGTGCCCCAGATGGCTTCCTTTTAGAATCTTTTAGAATAAAGAAAAGGAAAAATCCATCCTGGTAATGGGTGTGGTAGGTATTCAGACTAAAGAAGTCAAATGCAGGGATATAACCACATGATTCACCTCTGCGGCCTTCTACCGTAATAAAGATGAATGCTGGTTTTGAGGTGGACCCGACCCTTCAAGCCTTGAAAAAAAAAGAAATGTATCTGCCTTTTATGTAATTAGGAACACATACATTGCCCTGTGGTGTGGCAAATAAATGACTTAGGTTGATTTATTGACTCATGGACGTGCATTGAGGACCAACTGAAAATAAAACGGACTACACAATGCACATTGATGCCCCAAAATAACGTGTGTCAACTTGCATGCAGAATTGCACTCACAAGTATGAATGGGCCCTCGAAGACTACACTGTAGTTAAAAGGGAATATACTGTATACGGGGCTTGTACATATTTTTTTTAATTTATTATGTTCAGGACTAAAAACGATTTTTAAAATTATGTTTTAGAGAGGCAAATATAAAATGTCGCACACAAGTCAATGGGCTGAATTTACTAAAGGCAAATGAGCTGTTCACTTTCCCTTAGCTTAGTGAATGGGGTTAAAAATTCACATTGCAATCAATACCCAATTATCTGCAAGGAAAATAAAAAATAAAAAAAGACAGTAATTTTGCATGCATATGATTGGATGATGGAGGTCAGTGGTTTCACCTCATACTAAGCTAAGCAAAATTCCCTTCCTAACTAAGAGAGGCTATTAAAATCTGTAGCAGCTAGACATGTGCACGGCAAACAAATTCGCTTTCTGACAAAACAAATGAAAATGAAAAACATTTTCCCTTGTTTTGTCAAAGAAAACACATTTTTATGCTGTTTCGGGCCTCCGAATCCACAACTGCACATTGAAACTGCATATCGGCCGCTGGTGCATTATGCACATTGCGCTCCGCCATCTTTGAGTGTGTCATAGTATACACCAAGATGGCGGCGCCCGTATGTTTGGGCACTGCCATCTTGATGTATACCAAGATATACTCAAAGATGGCGGCGCGCCTGCGCAGAACACGCAGGCGGCCGATATGGCCACCGCTCCTTCTGCTTGTGACGTCACCACCATGTGACGTCAATCGCTTCGTCTCCAACAGGGTGGTGGGCATGCGCAGAACAATATGGTCGCCACGTGTTCTACAAACAAATTTATGTATGCCTGAATATAGTTTTAGTATATTCGAACACATAATACATTTGGTATTTCAGATTCGGACGAACTGCCGAATCAACTGAATTTAGTTGATTTGCAAGTTCGTCCGAATCCGAATGCACATGTCTAGTAGCAGCTGTACCAATCAGCTTCTAGCTTTCATTTTCAAAGCTTAAGTGAACAAGTTGAAGGTAGACACTGATTGGTCACTCTTGCTCCACATCCTCTCTGCTCTGTAATAGTAAATTCCCCCACGAAAATTCCTTTGCAAAGTAAACAGTCTATTCTCCTTTAGTAAATCATCCCCAATGAGACAGATCAGTCACTCCCAAACTCCTTCCAAGGTTTCAATCAGAGAAGAGAAGCCTGAAAGCAGAATACTACTGTGTGACCTCTTTTTGAAAACCCATAGTGCTCTGATAATCCTTTGTCATGCATTAAATGTCTTTTTATGTAAAACAAACAATACAACTGTCACTCTTTTCTTTCCTGAAGGTTGCTGCTGGGAGACTCCAAAATCCGTATTTTCCTGAAATGACGTCATACAAAGAGCCTTCCCCCTGACCACGGCGCTCGTGCCAGACCTACAGCAGACGGAACTGTTTCACTTATTGCCACAACGAAACTCCAGGCCAGGAATCAAACTCATGAACTTTCCCAGCTGAGCACGCAAACGTGGAGGGAGGACCCTGTAAATTGCTCCGTGAACCCACCTCATTCACCATCAGGTCAATGCCAGGAGCTAAGCAATGATAGGGAAGAAGCGATAGCTCTCTTAACACATAGCTAGTAACAGGACTGTGGAAGGCTCTTGCATGAAATGCCCAATTCGAGTACTCTGATCAAAGTCTCTGTCTATCCCAGGGGATTCCGGGATTACTAAACCTCCACACCTACTGAGCCCGTACTGCAAAGCACTAGATTGTGGAGCACTTGGCTTGGTAGGAACAAACAACCATTTAGTGGAACACATACCACTGTTTCTCCAACTCACTTGACCACTGTGTGGTTTTCTTTCCTTATCTACCCTCAACTTCATAATGCACAACCTCTGTGTCCTCCCTCACTCTTCATCCTGGTGACCATTGGCACCAACACTGAAGGTAATGGACTAGAGTTGTCACCAGAATAAGAGGCGAAGGTAAATCTTCCAGTGGGGACAACTGTCCAAGAGGGGGCATTCTTTTCTTTCTGTAGGGATTTCATGTCACTTTCTGTTGCATATCCATATCTAGGACAAGAAGTGAAAGGGAAATGTCCTCAAAGGAACACAGGCAGCAAAAAATAAGATGGTGTTTTTTTTTAACCATTACCTACTATATTTTTAACAAAATTGCTGTACATACAGCTTGGAGCTCATTTATAAAAGCTTCGCCCAGCATATGGCTGGACGAACACCCTTCACATATCATTAGTGCCACTAGGTGGAGCCGAAGAGCATAGGAAATTCCTATGTTCCTCTAGCCCCACCTAGTGGCTGTATGGCTATGTGAACGGCGTTTGCCCAGCTAGACACTAGGCGAAGCTCTTCTACATCAGCCCCTTTAAATTATATTACCACAGTACTATCACAGAGCCAGTCACAAGATAAAACTGTCTATTCACACAGTGAGATCTGGATAAGTTCATACAAGTTACTCAGAAGTTCTATATGAAATGACATTGCTTATTAAATTAGAACATTAGCCAAAACGTTTTCATTTCGCATAAAGACAAGAAAGGTTAGAACTGCTGCTGTGTCCCCATTAGGTAGCTTTCCCCTCACTTTCTGTCCTATAAAACAGGAAGTGTGAGAAGATCTCCCCAAGATGAGGGGAGATCATTGGAAGTATACTCATTGTAAGATTTCCCCTCACTTCCTGTTCTTGCGACGGCTGCAAAAGTTTAGATTTCCCCTCACTTCCTGTACAGGTGTCAGTAGTCATCAGGACAGGAAGTGAGTGTGAGTGGGGACAGAAATAAAACCTGGCAGATGTTCTAACCTTCCCTTATTAGAGGAGTTCAGCATCTCAGCCATTGTGGAACTTTATGACATATGATACAGTAGCTGGGATGGCGAGATAAGAGCAAAAAGCTAAAATGGTGATCTACACCAAATCAGTTGTTTCATGTAAACTATATTTATATTATTAAAAATCTCCCCCAATGATTGGATACAAGACTCAATATAAGAAATCATATAAGCAAGTAGATTGCAAGCCGGTCATTAGGTATTCAGATTACAGAACGCTAGCCAGCAAAGGATGCAGAATGGGGAGATCTATAAGTCAGGTACATATGGTTTTGTGTTTTACCCCTGGGGGTCAGCAAAAACTGAAAAAAGATCAAAATTCTAAAATTATCTGCAATTGCTTATAAAATCATTGGAAAATCGCCTGACGTATTTACTCGAGTTTGTTAAAACGTTGTTAATTTTGCAGACGTTTAGCCAAAGTTGGCAAGGCAAGGGTTAAAGCCAATCTGCCAGCAGTGGCCACCTGGAACAATGTAAATCTCCACCCCTGAACCGATAAAAAAAAAGTGCAACTTTACGTCTTGGGGATTACTTGATTTTTATTATTATTATTGTTATTAGGGATGCACGAGTATTTGGGCGAGTACTCCTACTCACCCAAATGCTCCAATGCCTAGCCCAATACTTCCAGTATCAGGAAGCCGGGCAGAGTGTAATAATAATTAGGTGACCTCACCTCATGACGAGGGAGCATGGGCCAGCTACCCGGCCAATCAGGAAGCTGAGCGTGCCGCATCATGACACGGCACCCAGCTTCCTGATTGGCCAGAAAGCCGGCTCCATGCTTTCTCGTCACCTAGTGACGAGAAGCATGGGGACGACTTCCCTGCTAATCGGGAAGCCAGGTGGCGAGTCATTACACACCTCTTGGGTTCCTTAATGGGACTTCCGGTATCGGTGAGTACGGAAAAAAAAATATTGGTACTCGTACCCGAGACCGAATTACCGGTATCGGGGCATCCCTAATTATTATACAGGATATATAGCGCTAACAGTTTGCGCAGTGTTTTACAACATGGAGGGAGACAATACAGTTAAAGGAGAACTATGAGGTGAGTGCTTTTCACTCACCTCATAGTTCTAGCCGACCTGTGACAATGAGACTGTCACAGGTCGGCTCAGTAGATCGGGAGGTGAGCGAACACATACCGGCGTTCGCTCACCTCTCGATCCTGTCACGGCTCTCTGCAGTGACAGGGGAGGAACTGGATTCCCCCTCCCCGCTCCGATCCGCTAGCGCTGACTGGCGGAACGGACGGGGGAGGGGGCGGGTACAGCTGTCTCTGCCTCTAGATAGGCAGAGCCAGCTGTCACTCACGCAGCTGGATAGATCTAGACATCGATGTCGGGATCCGCTCCGGCTGCGGCGTCTCAGTAGCTCGTGGTATACTGAGCTTAGGGTAACGGGAGGAGGCTAGTTTGTGTCCTCCCGTTACCCTAAGGAGAACTATGGGGAAAAGCCCTGACCCCATAGTTCTCCTTTAATTACATTTCAATACAGGAGTGTTAGGAGGGCCCTGCTCATGAGGGCTTACAATCTAGTAAGAGGGGCAAGTGATACAAAAAGTAATAATTGCATAGGATGAGTTAATGGAAGAAGTGAAAGGACGGTTATTATGTTGAGGTGGGATAGGCTTCTCTGAAGAGATGAGTTTTCAAGGATCGCCTAAAGGTGGGCAGAGTAAAAGATAGGCGGACAGATTGGGGTAGGGAGTTCCAGATGATGGGAGACACTCTGGGGAAGTCCTAGAGGTGAGCATGCGAGCAGGTGAGAAGAGAGCTGGAGAGCAGGAGGTCTTGGGAGGTGCGAAGAGGACGGTTTGGGTGACATTGTGAGACGAGGTGGGTGATGTAGGTTGGGCGGACTTGTAGATGGCATTGTAGGTTATTGTTGGTATTTTGAATGTTATACTTCGGGGAAGTGGGAGCCAGTGGAGGGACGGGCAGAGCGGGCCGGTGGACACTGATCGGTTGGTAAGATGGATGAGTCTGGCAGCAGTATTCATGATAGACTGAAGTGGGGATAGCCTGCTTAGTGGTGGGCCTACAAGAAGGGAGTTATAAGAGTAAAAGCGAGAGATTACAAGGGAGTGAATTAGAAGCTTTACGGTGTCGTTTGTTAAAAAGGGTCAAATTTTGGAAATGTTCCGTAGGTTGAGTCTGTAAGATTTGGATAGTCATTGGATGTGGGGCTGAAAGGAGAGCTCAGAATCAAGTACCTTGGCTTGATGGGGAGGGTTGATCGTAGTGTTGTTGATTGTGATGGGGAAGTCCGGGGAAAGAAAACAGAGAGGAGGAAATATTATCAGCTCAGTTTTGGACAGATTTAGTTTGAGGAAGTGATGTGACATCCATGTAGATATGTTAGTGAGTAGATTAGTGACGCGTGAGGAGATAGAAGGGGTGAGCTGAAGGGTAGAGAGGTACAATATATTTGGGTGTCGTCGGCATAGAGATGGTATTGGAAGCCATGGGAGGTTATCAACTATTTTTTACTTGTATTCTCTCCCTTTGAAGACCAAAGGGGCTCATTTATAAATGCTCCACCCACAGTATAGCGGCGGGGGGGGGGGGGGTTTAGGGGATACTGTTCACGTGGCACTAGTGCTAAGGTGGCACAGAGAAGCTTAATAAATTCCTATGCTTTGAAGCGCCATTTAGTGGTGCTAGTGTTGTGCCAACAGCTACACGCTGGGTGGAGCATTTATGAATCAAGCCATTTGGCTTTCACAGGGGTGTCCCTAGACTTTTCGCCGCCCGAGGCGGCTGAGGGGTGCTGGTGGTGCATGGTAACTGGGTAGGGGGGTGCATGGTAACTGGAGAGGGGGGCTCTGCATCATCTCCCTGCCCAGCTCTAGCTTCGGCTCTGATCGATGTCCCGTCCAGCTCTGACGTCGCTGGTTGTCAGGAGCTGGGCAGGACACTGGCCAGAGCATCCCAGGTTGCTAAGAGCTGGGCAGGGAGATGTGAATGGCCCTTGCACATCTCCCTGCCTGGCTCTTAGCAACCTGGGATGCTCTGGCTGGAAAGGCAGGAACCTTGCAAACATTGTGCAGCAGAGTGGCCATACCGCCCTGCCTGCCACTACCCCCCCACGTGACCCAAAGAGATGCCGCCTGAGGCAAGAGCCTCAGGCTGCCTCATTAAAAGGATGGCCAGTGGGAAGAAAATACAAGTAAATAATAATTTTTAAAAAAATGAAGTAATCCTCAAGAGGTAAGAATTTCTATATCAGCCACAAACTGTCAGGATGTAAGGCCATCCTTTCTCTTGCCTGAGCTCAGTGCTGATAACAGATACTAAAAAAAAACCTCATACAACAAAGGCGCTTTCAAATCATATGAAATAAACATATTTGCTTGCTGACGGTTTTACCATCCTCCAGCAGCTATCAGCACTGAGCTCAGAGAGTAGAAGGGGAGCCTCCATGGGGGCCCCAAAAACCTATTAGTGGGCTGACATTTCTGGTCTAACAGGGAGAGAATACAAGTGAAAAAAATGCACACACCAATCCCTGAGAGCTA